TAGATGGGAGATGGACCCATATGTTATAGGTCCAAGATTTATACAGTTGGTGGAAGGTAAGGACTCTTTAAGGAAAAGAACATAATCCACCTCTGAGAAAGGTACAAAGGGCAGAGGAGGCGGAGCACTCAGTCTCTGATTAAGTCAGGAAGGAATCTGAACTGGGACAAGATGGAGGTGTCACTCTGAGGTTGAGATTCCCAGGCCCATGGGAAATAGTGACTGTGACCTTGTTTGGGAATAGGGCCTCTGCAGATGTAATCAAGTTCAGAGGCGGTTTGGGTGGAGTGGGCCCTACCTGCAATGACAGGTGTTTTTGTGAGAGGGAATTTGGACTGTTTCACTGGCCATGTGACTGGGATTCAGCAATGGGGGGGGGGGGGGGGGAATGGGTCTCCAAGTCAAGGAACCAAGGCTAGCTGGCTGCCACAAGAAGCTGGGAGAGACCTGGACTGATTTTCTCTTGCAGCCCCAGGAGGAAACCACCGTGCCCACACCTTTCTGGGAATAAGTGTGAGGTTCGAGTTGAGCGGTTTGCGACGCAGAAGCAAGACACAGAGTCCAGGCGATTAAAAAGGGGGGAGGTTTTAATCTGTGCTCCCGGGCAAAGCTCGCTGGTCCGAGGGTGGGCCAGGGAAGTTCGTGTCAAAAAGTGGCATAGGTACTTCTTTTATAGAGCTGTTTAGGGAGGGGAGGGTGGAGGGTATGAGAGGTATGGAATTCCTGCCTCAGGTCAGGGGTCTAGGAAGGCCCTAGGAAGGCACCAGCTAGCCAGCTCTCTTTGTCACCATCCACCTTGCAGATGCTTGCATGGGCTCTGGGCTTCCCCCCTGCCTTGATCTAACAATAAGTATTTCACAAGCTGAGATGGGAGCCCTGGAGGCTGTTGAGCTTCAGTGTGGAGAGCTCTGGTCACTGCCCACCTGCCTGGACCACTATCTCCTCAGCTCCTGGAGAGAAGCGCCAGGGGTGGCAGGAGAAGGGACTCCCAGCTGAAGCCCCCAGTCTGGGGGTATGAGGAGCATGAGGGGGTTCCGGGTGCACTGGCCTGCCCCTGCATCCCTGAGTACCTCCCATCCTGTTCCCTGACCGTGGGGCCAGGGCTGATTTCTGCCCAGAGGGCCTGGGGACCAGTGTGCAGGGCTGTGCCAGGAGAGGAAAGAGCAGGCATGAAAAGCTCGTCTTTCTTCAGTGCCCACCTCCTCCAGTGCTGCATACACTCAACACCCTCCCAAGTCTCTGTGGGGTCTAGCTTCTGTGATTACACCCTGGAGCCCAGGCCTCTCACTCATCCAATACTTTCTCTGGTGCTAATTTGGAAGAGGGAGTTAATCGCCCTTTCTACCACCTTATTTGACAGAACAAAATGAACTAAATCCACTTATTTCCACAGTGGGCTTAGAAGGGATCTGGCACACCGCAGCTGCCCAGTTAATGAATGTCAGCGCCTTCCTCAAGTCCCCTCCCCAGGCATTCAGGGCAGTTGGTGGACAGGAAGTTCTGTTTCTCTGGTCCTGGTGAAGGGCTGGTTGCGAACATAAAAGTCCATTAATGACACATACTGATGCGTGTGCCACAGGGTAAGTGGTAAGGCCAGACTGCTGGTGCGCCCCCATAAGTGTGTGTGTGTGTGCGTGTGTGTGTGCGCGCGCGCACGTGTGCGCATGTAACAAATGGGCTGGAGAGAAAAGCAGGGCCAGACACAAAAGATCTGGTGATTCTTGCTAGGTTTTGTGTTTATTCTAGGAGAACTTGGAACCTCAAAGTGTTTTAAGTTGACAAGTATGTGTGTGTGTGTGTGTGTGTGTGTGTGTGTGATCTTCTCACCTCTAAGGTGACCAGATGTCCCCAGTCCCAATTTTTAACAATTTGTCCCGCATCCCGTGATGTTTTAAAAAAGTCCTGATTTTTGGAAAGAATAACCTTCCTCCCATCCTCCAGGCTCCTTTCCCCCAAATCCCTTCCCTGTCCCTTATTCACCACGTGGCTGTGGGATAAGGCACTTCACACCTGTCAGGCTCATTCTCGCCATCTGTATGGGGGCATTGGTATCTACCTGAGAGGTGTGGGGAGGTTGTATTTTTCAAAGATGGCAGCTCCATTGCCTATCCCATCCAAGACAACTCCTCTTCTGTCTGCTCAACTGTGGCCCAGGGTTACCTCCCTTCTTTGTTGCTTAGCAAGAACCAGGGCTTAAAAGGAAAAGCTACCCTTTGTTTTCTTGCCCTTGTATTGAGTAGCAAGCACAAGCCCTTTCCCTTGCTTTTAATTATGGACCCATATCCTGCACTATATTTATCATTCTTGACTAGGTAGGATGTTATCAGGATTACAATATCATTTATTTATTTATTTATTTTTAAATATATATTTTATTGATTTTTTACAGAGAGGAAGGAGAGTTAGAAACATTTATCAGCTGCCTCCTGCACACCCCACAACAGGGATGTGCCCGCAACCAAGGTACATGCCCTTGACTGGAATCAAAACCGGGACCTTACGCTCTGTCCACTGAGACAAACTGGTTTCGGCTACAATATCTTTTTAAGTAATTTTGTTTTAATTTTATGTATTACTAGAGTCCTGGTGCAGGGTCCCTTGGCCTGGCCTGCACCCTTTTGCTTGGGGAATGTCCAAGAGCCGGTTTTTGCCCGAACCTCATAGACCAGGCTAAATCAATGCACCAGGCCTCTAGTATGCATATAACAACTTTGGTTAACCTCTCCCCTCTTTCTCCTTTCTCCCCTTTCCCCCCTGAGATTCGTCAGTCTGTTCCATGTTTCCATGGCCACTCCCATGTGGTCGAAGATAGCTGCCCCCATGTGGACACAAGATGGCTGCCACAGATGGCCACCACAAGATGGCTTGCAGGGCAGGGCAGATGGGAGGGGTCAGGCCTGCAGGGGAGGGTAGTTGGGGGATGACCAGGCTGGCAGGGGAGCAGTTAGGCATCAATCAGGCTGGCAGGGGAGTGGTTAGGGAGTTATCAGGGTGGCAGGCAGAAGCAATAGGGGCAATCAGGAAGGCAGGCAGACAAGCAGTTGGGAGCCAGCAGTCCTGGATTGTGAGAGGGATGTCCGACTGCCCTTTTAGGTCTGATTCCACCAGGAAAGGGACTAAATGGGCAGTCAGACATCCTCTGAGGGGTCCCAGATTGGAGAGGGTGCAGGCTAGGCTGAGGGACACCACGCCTGGCCTTCTGCACAAATTTCTTGTATTGGGCCTCTAGTATAACAATAATTGGTAAGGTTAATTTATTATAAATATTGAGTTTGTTTTTATGTGTATCATGTTTTGTTATGCTTTATCATACTTTTCATTTGCTTTTTTCTTTACTTCTTTCCTGTCTTCTATGAGATTGATGAATGTTTCTGCCTCTGTTTTATTTCATTTTCTCTATCTATTGATATGAATGTCATGTTTTATTTCAGAGGTGGTTTTGGGTAATTTTCTTGTTTGCATAATTGACTTGACAAGTCTAAAGTTCTATCATCATTCCTAACAAAAATCTGTGTAAATATTTTATTCTTTTAATTTTTCTTTATTAAGGTATTACATATGTGTCTTTACCTCCCCTCCTCCTCTTAGGCCCTCATTCCTCCTGGTGTCTGTGTCCATTGGTTATGCTTATATGCATGCACATAAGTCCTTTGAACCTGAGTATATATTTTAAATTCTTATGAGAAGAAAATGATTGAAGACCAAAAAAGTGTATAATCCAATGCATCTATTCATATAATTTTTAACATTCCTTAGGTCAATTTTCCCTTTCTCCTCCAATCATGCGAATGTTTAAAAGTTCTGTTACTATTTGAAGGGAATCCTTAAAATAAAAGTGGCTTACCATTCCCTGCTGGTCAATTTTACCTCAATAACTGTCACCAATCAGAAGGCATATCATATCAAGGCACACAGACCTGCAGCCTTTATAAACCCTGGGGAAAAGGAACTCAGTGGGACCCTTTCCCCCTCCCCGTGGGAGTCTGTATGGTGAAGTTCTTTCCCCTTCCTCCGGTGGGAATCTGTACCTCTTCTTTAATAAATTTCCACCTTTGTTATACCATCTTCTGTCCGTGGATTCATTCTTCCCAAAAATTCTGCATCAGTATGTTCCATTTTAGAGTTGTGCAACCGGACTCTGAGAGTGGTCTGTTCACAGTGCGGGCGGAGAGGAAGCACTAGCACCCAGCTACAGGTATATTTTCTTTCTTTTCCTTTTTAAAAAATTATTTTATTGATTTTTTTACAGCAAGAAAGGGAGAGGGATAAAGAGCTAGAAACATCCACCAGCTGCCTCCTGCATGGCCCCACCAGGGATGTGCCCGCAACCAAGGTACATGCCATTGACCAGAATAGAACCTGGGACCTTTCAGCCCGCCGGCTGATGCTCTGTCCACTGAAACACACCGGTTTCGGCAGGGCATCTTTTTCTAAAAATGTGTTCTGACCGAAACCGGTGTAGTTCAGTGGATAGAGCGTAGGTCTGCGGACTGAAGGGTCTCAGGTTCGATGTGCCCACAACCAAGGTACATGCCCTTGACCGGAATGGAACCTGGGACCCTTCAGTTCACAGGCTGACACTCTATCCACTGAGCCAAACCAGTGAGGGCCACATTTCCATTTTTGTTGTTGCTAATCATCACCTGAGGACTCTCCACTGAGTCTTCTAGTGAGAGTGGAAGGAGGGGAAGATGCACAGAGACACATGGGTGGATTGCCTCCCCCTGCACCTCACCTGGGGATGGGGCTGAACCTGGGACCCAGGTGCGTGCCTTTGATCAAGAATCGAATCTGAGATCCTCCAGTGTGCACTCCGAGGCTTTACCCACTGACCAACACCAGTCAGGGCAGAGCCCAGGTCTTAGTCTTAGACAGGAGCGGAGATAGATTGGTTGTGATATGCTATATAATTATTTTTATATAACCATTTCCCCAAGTGATAACGTTAGAGGGACACAATATATTAGGGAACATTTCTTTTAAAAATTAACTTTTAGGTCCCGCGGAGTTCCGCCATGGCCTCCAAGACAGCAAATCGTACTCCTCCGAGTTCTCGTCGGGAGCCGGAGGGGCGCTTCCCGGGACCGGACAAGTATTCAGTGCTGTTGCCCACCTACAACGAGCGCGAGAACCTGCCGCTCATCGTGTGGCTGCTGGTGAAGAGCTTCTCGGAGAGTGGAATCAACTATGAAATTATAATCATAGATGATGGGAGCCCAGATGGAACAAGGGAAGTTGCTGAACAGTTGGAGAAGATCTATGGATCAGACAAAATTCTTCTAAGACCACGGGAGAAAAAGTTGGGACTAGGAACTGCATATATACACGGAATGAAACATGCCACAGGAAATTACATAATTATTATGGATGCTGATCTCTCACACCATCCAAAATTTATTCCTGAATTCATTAGGAAGCAAAAAGAAGGTAATTTTGACATTGTCTCTGGAACTCGCTACAAAGGAAATGGAGGTGTTTATGGCTGGGATTTGAAAAGAAAATTAATCAGCCGTGGGGCCAATTTTATAACTCAGATTTTGCTGAGACCAGGAGCATCTGATTTAACAGGAAGTTTCAGGTTATATCGAAAAGAAGTTCTACAGAAATTAATAGAAAAATGTGTTTCTAAAGGCTACGTTTTCCAGATGGAAATGATTGTTCGAGCAAGACAGTTGAATTATACTATTGGCGAGGTTCCAATAACATTTGTGGATCGTGTTTACGGTGAATCCAAGTTGGGAGGAAACGAAATAGTCTCTTTCTTGAAAGGATTATTGACTCTCTTTGCAACTACATAATAGAAAGTTATTTATTTATCACGTTCATTTCAATTTAAACAGAGGAAGCTGGTTGCTGATTTTTTTTAATGTACTTAGAGCATAAATCATAGGTAAGATAAATTTCATGCAAATCTTTTTTTCCGAAGAAATTCCATTTTATATGTCAAATTAAATTAGAAAAATGAGCAGTGTTCTCAATTTTCTTTAACATTTTGCTGTATTAAGACCTACAAATAAATGCATATGGATTTTTGCATAAAAAAAATTAACTTTTATGAAGATAAAATTAAAATAATTTATCACTTTAGATTGATTCTGCTGACACAAAGGATAAAGTGCTGGTGTTTTTCAAGCTGAGACCTGAAGTGATTACTGATCAGAACCTACATAACAACATTCTTGTTTCATCGATGTTAGAATCACCTATAAATTCCCTTAATCAAGCAGTGCGGCAGGTATTTGCACCAATGTTGTTAAAGGTGAGTAAAGTAGCTGTATAGTCACTTTTTTTTTTTTAATCTTCGACTATTTGGATAAGTACTTTCATAAATAGAAATGTAAGTTTTACTTTATATGCTATTAATATCATTAGTATTTTAATTTTTAAAGTGCATATTCTTTTAATTAAAAAAGTTTTAAAGTAAGCTTTGATGGAGAACCAAGATGGCTGCGCCCAGGTGAACACCTAGTCGCAGCCGCACACAACAATTTCAATAAAATACAACTAAACTATAAAACGGACATTGCCCAGAACTACAGGAAGGTTGACTGACTGGAAATTCTACAGCGAGAAGCAAGGAGAAAACCAGAAGGAGGCGCGGAGGAGCTGGAAAAGCCCAAGGTACAGAGACACGCGGCACGCGGAGAGGACGGAGCGGAGAGGAGGGAGGCTGAGTGCCTGGCGGGCGTTCCCTAGCGGGAAGGAGACAAAACTCCGACTGTGCTGGGCCCCCGACTGCTCTGAACCCCAGTTCTAGGCCAGACCCCGGGGACTCAGGCTCAGCCATAGGGAGCCGGGCTGTAAGGCAAAACCCAGGGGAGCAGCAAAAGGAGGTCCCGGAGGCGTGCACACTGCGCGCAGAGAAGGGACGGTCGGCTGTGCCGCAGGATTGCCCTGGCGGGAAGGAGACTGGGCTCCAGTCTGCTCTGAATGCCACCTCCAACTCCACTTCCAACTGAACTGAACCCCAATACCGGGCTCATTGGGGGAGAGCATAGACTGTTTGGCAGCAGGCAAAAATCGAGGGCACCTTTCTCTCAGAGGCGCCAGCAGGGAGCACTGAAGGACCCGCATAGGGCGGGGCTGACAGAAGCCAAAGCTGCAGGCTCCACCCTGAAACCCCATCCCACCTGTAACTGCGAAATGCGACAACAAAATAGATCACAAACAAAAGAAATGGAGGACAAAAAGCGTCTGGATATAGAGTTCAAATCTATGCTTATAAGGTTTTTCAAGAATTTCCTAGAAAAGATGGATAAGGCCTCTGAGGATATGAAAAGAGATAAACTATTAATAGAATTAATAAGAAGTCAACAAGAAATAATAAGGGATCAACAAGAAATAAAGAATACATTGACTGAAATAAAAAATATTTTACAGAGTCCTAAAAACAGAAGGGAAGATCGCAAGAATCAAGTCAAAGATTTGGAACATAAAGAGCCAGAAGACACTCCTCCACAGAAGTTAGAAGGCAAGAGAATCCAGAAAATTGAAGATAATGTAAGAAACCTCTGGGACAACTTCAAGCAAACCAACATCAGAATTTATGGGGGTCCCAGAAGATGAGAGAGAGCAAGATATCGAAAACATACTGAAAGAAATAGTGACAGAAAACTTCCCCCACCTAGTGAAAGAATTAGACTTACAAGTCCAGGAAGTGCACAGAACTCCAAACAAAAGGAATCCAAAGAGGACCACACCGAGACACATCATTATTAAAATTCCAAGAGCAAAAGACAAAGAGAGAATATTAAAAGCAGCAAGAGCAAAGAAGGTAGTAACCTATAAAGGAGCACCTATACGATTGTCAGCTGATTTCTCAACAGAAACCATGCAGGCCAGAAGGGAGTGGCAAGAAATATTCAAGATGATGAATAGCAAGAACCTACAGCCAAAAATAATCTACCCAGCAAAGCTATCACTCAGAATCGAAGGCCAGATAAAGAGCTTCACTAATAAAAAAAAGCTAAAGGAGTTCATCACTGCCAAACCAGAATTATATGAATTGCTGAAGGGGGTTCTTTCAGAAGAGAAAGTAAACAAAGATAAAAATTATGAACAACAAATACATAACTATCAACAAGTGAATCTAAAAACCAAGGAAATTTAAAAAATCTGATGAACGCCGAAACCGGTTTGGCTCAATGGATAGAGCGTCAGCTTGGGGACTGAAAGGTCCCGGGTTCGATTCCAGTCAAGGGCATGTACCTTGGTTGCAGGCATATCCCCAGTACGGGGTGTGCAAGAGGCAGCTGATCGATGACTCTTTCTCATCGATGTTTCTAACTCTCTATCTCTCTCCCTTCCTCTCTGTACAAAATCAATAAAATGTATTTAAAAAAAATCTGATGAACAATATAACTGTTGAATATAATAGAATCAGAGGTATGGAAGGGGAGTGAACTGACGATTCTTGGGGAAAAGGGGAGAGGGGGCGTGGGAAGAGACTGAACATAAACTGTGCACCTATGGATGAGGACAATGGGGAGAGGGGAAAGGGCAGAGGATGGGGTGGGAACCTGGTGGAGGAGAGCAATGGTAGGGGGGGGAAAAAGGAACATTTGTAATAATATGAACAATAAAAACTTATTAAAAAATAACAAAATAAAATAAAAATAAAACGGCTTACTTCCAACAAGAACGGTAAAAAAAATAAAAAAATAAATAATAAAGTAAGCTTTGATGAAGATTGGAGAAATACATAAAATGCAATCCACGTAAGCTCATACATTGCCGTAATGACTTCTTTTTTCTCCCACAATGAGACAGAGGTCGTGTCAAGCTTTGAGTGAAATAAGCATATGTGGGCTTAGTCTTTGATAGTATTTTAGGAAGTCAATTTGATTGGTAAGCTTTTGATCAGTGTTTGCTTTTGTCTGTTTTTATTAGGATCAGGAATGGAGTAGAAACTTTGATCCCAAATTTCAGAATCTTTTGAGTGAACTAGAAGCTGGATTGGGTATAGTTCTAGGAAGATCAGACACTAATTTATCAAAACTGAAATTTAAGGAAGATGACACACGAGGTATATAATGATAGCTTAATCAAAGACAAAATAATTGTCTTATAAGTAAATTAATATATTTCTTCAGAGTTTTATTTCCACAAGATTGGGTCTTCTCTGAGCCTGAGCCTCTGTTATATGAATAGATTCAAATGGATTTGGGGAAGACAAACGTGTAATCTTTAATAATGTGCAATTCAAAGGAATAGAAAATATGATTCTTGAATAATGAGGATTGACCCTAATTGTATACTTTGTAAAGATAATAGGCCAGTTACTTGTATTTTAAAACGTTTATCTGAAATTAATTATAATTTTATGTTTATAGTTAAATTATTACTCATCTGACATACATAAGATATTATTTTAAAATATTGGGAAAAATGTATTTATTGCTTAATTAGTAAATTAAATGCGTTTTTAGTTCCACAGACTAAGAAAGAACAGTGCTTTCATTTCAGCATGTGATTAGGCAAGTAGAGATCATCTAGTTCATTGGAAAATGTAAAAGCACATTTAAAAGTAAAACTATTTTAACTTGCTTGTATTTTGAATTTAAATTGCAAACATTGATTAAATCATATTCAGTAGTATGAATCGTTTTGGAATTAAATTTAGGAAAGATTTGTGTCTGAGAAGCAAATTCATAGATATAAGTAGACGGTATATGTCTGTTAGGCTTACAAAAGCATGCAGGAATCATTCTCAGCAATAAACAATGTGAAGTATAAATTTGGTGCTGTTATTTCTGGTGGATTCAAGTAAAAACTTTCTGTTGATAGAAATTACAAAATATTTTTTTCAATGCATCTCAAGAAAACAGGAAATATTCAAAACCTGCGAATAAACCAAATTACTTTCTGGCTTTTCATTTTCAATTGACATGTTTTTTTCCTTTTCACTTTTTCAGGTATTCTTACACAAAATGATGAGTTCCAGTTTTGGATAGAACAAACTCATCGTGGAAATAAACAGAGTAATAGAGAAAGAGCCATTTATTTTAAAGAATTATTTGAAACAATTTCAAGAGTATGTAATTCATATATATTATATGTTACGCTTTTGATAAAAGTACTTTAGAGTTGTACGTTTAAAAAATTTATCTGTTTTAAAATCATTACTTAATGATTACAAACAAAATATATCCTTCATAAATAGCAAGGCTTATTTAAGATGTATATTTAATATGAGTACAAGCTAAAAATCTAAACATTTTGCCCAGGTAGCGTGGCTCAGTGGTTGAGCACTGACCCATGAACGAGGAGATCAGGGTCTATTCCAGGTCAGGGCACTTGCCTAGGTCATGGACTAGAACTCTGGTGGGGGCATGCTGGAGGCTGCTGATGGATGAGTCTCACTCATCATTGCTGTTTCTGTATCTCTCTCTCTCCCCCTTCCTCTCTGAAATTAACAACAATATATTTTTAAAAAATCTAAAAGTTTTAAAAGTTAGATTGTAATCTCTAATAAATATTTGTCTCAAACATAATTACTTTTCTGCAGGTAGACAGAGAAAAACAAAAACCTAAAACACTAACAGAGGTTTATTTATTTTGAGGTAATATATGTTCTTTTGAAGGAATGTTCACTTTATTCAGAGTAGCATTTTTGAAGTAATTTATAACTTAAAAAGCCTTAGTTTTTACTTATTTGATTGATCATGCCTTGATGTATTTAAGAGAGGTCAAATAAGTGACCATTTTAATTACAATTATAAAAATATCTATTTTTTTCAAAATAAATATAAAGTAATTTTCTATTTGTTTGTAATATTATTTTAAAAATATTTTAATAAATATTTGGAATAATTTCAAACTCTTTTTATAACAGTGATGAAATATAGAATAATAAGCCTTGTATTATTGGTAACATTATACAATGCAGTAAATGAAGATATGCCAGCTACATTGGTTATTGTATATATGGCATTATGGCTTCCTTTATTTGGGTAAATAAAATAAATGCATCCAAAGTTAAAGAAAATTAGGCCAAGGTTAAAAATAAATGGATAGATTTTTTTTGCAATTCCTATTTTTTTTTTCTGGCTTACATGAAATTTATGTTTGTGAAGGTACTTAAAGAGTATTTGTATAACAATATATCTGATAGAAAAAGGAGAAAATAATATGACAATGTTAGAGTTTTAGCAGTTGAAAAAGTCAGAACATTTTGACTATAGTACCCAAAGTATAGAACTGATTATATTTAAAAATGAATGCATTTTGGTTTCAGGAGTTTTGGACAGTCTATCCTTACTGGAAGTCGTTGACCTGGTAGAGACTACTCGGGATGTTGTCGATGACGTGTGGAGACAAATAGAGCATGATCATTACCCTGAGTCACGAATGCTGCATCTCTTAGACATCATAGGTACTAACTAGTAAAGAATAAACTTGAAATTTTGGAAGCCTGTTTTATTTTGTTTTCTGTTTCTTTTTCTTTAAGTTCTTACTAAGAATGCTTCTTAAAGTAGTAATTGTTGCTTCAAGTAACCCTGAAAGCAAATAATACAGAATTATTTAAATTGATATTTGCATATAGTTGGTTAATTTAAATCATGTGTCGCATTTTTTGGTCATTAATATAACTAAATTTATATATATTTTTAGTCCCTATGCATGTATTAATTTAGAACTTATTTTGTAATTTTAAAAAATATTTGTTATTGACAGTGCAGATTTAAGGTGGACATTGTGATATTTCATACAACCTTAGTTTACTAATTTGTATGTTAATTCTGTTGTAGGCATGTATTCTATAATTATTTTGTAAAAAGGCATTTCCATGAAGAAGCTTGCTTTATATTTTATTAGGTGGTTCATTTGGAAGATTTGTTCAGAGAAAGTTGGGAACTCTGAGTCTATGGGAAGATCCTTATTATCTTGTGAAGGAAAATCTGAAAGCTGGGATTTCCATTTGTGAACAGTGGGTGACCGCCTGTAATCACCTCACAGGCCAGGTGTGGCAGCGCTATGTTCCTCACCCATGGAAAAGTGGAAAGTATTTCCCTGAAACACTGGACAAACTTGGCAAACGCCTTGAAGAGGTATCGTTAGATTATTTGGCTCTTTGTCTTTTTTGTTGTTAATTCCCACCGAGGATATTTTTTCCGTTGATTTTCAGAGAAAGTGGAAGGGGGAGGGAAGGGACAGAGAGAGAGAGAGAGAGATATTGAGCCTGTTACCCATATACTTGCCTTTGACTGGAAATGGAATCTGAGGCTCTTCTGTTCCCAGGCTGACACTCTAACCACTAAGCCCGCGGGCACGGGCTTGGCTCTTCTTTACGTGTGAATTCAGCAGGCCCTCACATTTATGAATGTATTTTATGATTTATAAGCACTACATCTGATAGAAACTCTTTATATTTTTGGGAGAGAATAGGGTTGAAGTTCATGTGAAATAGTTTGACAGTCATCTGGTATGTCAATGCTGGTTTCCACCTTTCTCTTTGGTGTGTGTTCAACTGTGAATTCTGACTTCTGTTTCATTCTTTGTTATAAAAAAGATAATCAGCCCACTTGTCCATGTAGGTAAGCTATCAGACATTCCCTTGCCTATTGAGATTGTTTGTAAGCAGGACAGCTTCTTTAGGGGATCACTCAGTGGAAATATTTTAAATAGCTGCTTAATTTTCATTACTTCTGAATTTCAGTATAGGACATATATTTAGCTTGAAGGGATAGGCAAAATGAGAAGAAAAGATTGCAAATCTGACTTTTTTTCTTTTCTGCCGCCAGGAATCACAGTTCTTTGGGGGATTTAAAAAAAAAAACACCTTTTTCACCATGAAAAACTTAAAAAACATATTTAAAAGTAAAATAGTATAATGAATACCAATGTATCCATTGCTCAATTTCAACAGCCTTTGACATTATTTAGTTCTTATTCCATCTTTGTCTAACCTGCCTTCCTTTTATTTTTTTCTAGAGTATTATTTATTTATTTATTTATTAATATATTTTATTGATTTTTTACAGAGAGGAAGAGAGAGAGATAGAGAGCTAGAAAAGTCGATGAGAGAGAAACATCGACCAGCTGCCTCTTACACACCCCCTACTGGGGATGTGCCCGCAACCCAGGTACATGCCCTTGACCAGAATCGAACCTGGGACCTTTCAGTCCACAGACCAACGCTCTACCACTGAGCCAAACTGGTTTGGGCTTTTCTAGAGTATTTTAAAAGCCAATTCAAGAAATCATATACTTTCATCCTTAATACCATAATCATAATATCACTCTCACATTCACCAAAATTATAACTATTTCCTAGCATTATTTTATATCTAACCAGTGTTCAATTTTTCTGATTGTCTCAGCTGCTTTATAGGTACTTTCCAACTTTTAGTTTGATATGTGGGTTCAGGTATGTTAAGCCTGATCATCTGTTATAATGCTCTCCATTAAAAAAAAAATTTATTGACTTTTTCAGAGAGGAAGGGAGAAGGATAGAGAGCCAGAAACACCAACGAGAGAGAAACATCAATCAGCTGCCTCCTGCAACCAAGGCACATGCCCCTGGGACCTCTCAGTCCACAGGAAGATGCTCTATCCACTGAACGAAACCGGTTTCAGCTCTCCATTTTTTTCTTAATGATTTTAGCAGCCATTACTGATTACGAGATAATATAAAATGGGGACTTTCTAATTCTGTTGTTCTTTCTACATTTTTAGTGATGGTGGAAGAACTTTTCCTCATCCATTTATTAGTTACTCTGAAATAAAGTGTGTATAGGAATAACTGGATAGACAATTACTTTTAGTTATCACTTTTAAAAAAATGAATAAATAAGTTAGTATCATAGTAATTTCCATTGGTGATCAATGAAATGATTTTTAGTAGAATTATTATGAACCCATGAGGTGTTATATTTTGTTTCCATCTATTACAGTGTTTCTTTAACAATTTCCTTACTTTCAAGCCTCCCAAAATGTACCAGCACATCTTTTATATTTTTGTCTCATACCTGGAATTAGTAATTTTTCCAAACATCCTGGGTCTTTTTAGTAAAAAATGGTATTTAGCAACAAAAATCTGGTTGAGGAAGTGTTACATTTTACTTAGTTATCAATGCTTTTAGGCCACAATTGTTAAATTGATGTTTTGTTTTTATCAGGATAAAAATAAATCATGAGTTTGTATAGATATTTCTGACTCATGGAAGATTATAGTGTTTTTACTTAACCTTTTTGATTATCTCTTGATTACTGGGAAAATTTTAGATACAAAATATAATTTGTTTTCCGGTAGTTTGTAACTGGTACATAAAAGAATTGTTGATATTGTTTCATTATCAGATTGCAATTTAATGCAGAATTATGACTGTCATAAGTACTATAATAAGGAGGAGATGAGCTATAATATATATGAGTTTTAAGCAAAATTTAAAAATATTTAGATATTATATTTTTTCACTAGATTTGAGCACACTGATTGATATGTTAATATAGTATGTCTTTGCTTATCACTCTGAATATTGATGAGTAATTCTGAAAATTATAGTTTCAGTTTTCATTTCAGAGGACCTAGGTAAAGAAATTCTTGCTCAGTATCTTTGGGTGTTAGACTTATTTGTGCATATTTATTTATTTAAATAAATTTATTTTTAATATTTGTTTTAGGTCTTGGATGTTAGAATAATTCATGAGAAGCTTCTCCATTTTTTATCTGCTAATGAAGAGAAAATCCTGGCTCTAGTATTTGAACCTTTTACTGGCCCGAATCCAGTGCAATATAATCCATATACTGAGGTTGAATATATATGTTTCTAAATATAATTTCCTGTTTGTGTTGTTCTTTTAAAGGCAGTTTTTAGATATTAAAGTCTAACAATATTGACAATTTATTTAGCATTTGTGGAAAGCTGCAGTGTCTCAATATGAAAAAATTATTATACCCGTGGAATGAAGAATAGCAGGAAAATTGAAAAATTATATTTCAGAAATTCAAGATAGTCCACAACAGGTAAAATACTGAAATATTTTACATCTAATACTTTCTCTAGTCTATTTTAGGAAATATATGTTATATACCAAGTTAATCCACTTGGGATAAACATATATTATTTTATTTTATATTAGCTTCTTCAAGCATTTCTGAAATACAAAGAGTTGGTGAAGCGTCCAATTATAAGCAAAGAATTGATGTTAGAACGAGAAACTTTACTGGCAAGGCTTATGGACACAGTTAAAGGTAAAAGTTTATCAGAGATTATAGTATTTGCTGGAGAAAATATTTTTGTAGCTCACTTTTTTCTATGTTGTATACTATTTAGGATTAAGTCTACATTTAAGGGACCAACTCTTATTATTTTTCTATCAATGATATTTGACATAGTTCTTGGAACATCAAAAGCCTTTAGGAAATCTTCGCTAAATGTGTCTAATCGTTTATTTGATTTAAATTTTATAGATTTTCGATTAGACTTTGAGAACCGGAGCCAAGGAATACCTGGTGATGCATCTGGGCCACTTTCTGGCAAAAACCTTTCAGAGGTTGTTAATAATATAGTTTGGGTTCGCCAGTTGGAACTGAAGGTATTAATTGGAATAAAGGTTGAAGAACATTAATTGTAAAATCTGCTAAATTAATATAGAAGTTACTCTAGAATTGTAGTGAAAACATTAAAAGACATTTTCTATTTTCCTTCGTATATCCATTAAATTTTTATGTGAAAAGTAGAATTCTGAAAAAGTGTGCTGAGGAGGTTGTAATGGTTCTTCTCATTCCTTGTATGGAGATAATTATCAAACCATTTATCATTACAACTGCAGTTTTCCAGGTAAGTGTCTTTGTAAAAAATATTCAAAAGGAGAGCACTGTTATAGGGTACTATTAAGGCTAACATGTTTGAGATTTTTACTTATTCAAGTTTGTATTTTTGATGTTTTACTTTGATGCTGCTTAATTTTCTCAGCTTTCTAAGGTGCTACATTGTTCTTTGTAGTTATGAAGGAATTTCTCTCCTTTAAATTGCCATTCAAATTGCGTTTATCATTGTTTAAGATATTAACCAGAGCATTTAGCAAAGTATCTAAGTGATGCTTAATATATTTAGGAGTATTGCAAAATTTTTGGAGTTTCACTTGAATTTCCCTTATTTTAACCTTCAGATTATGCCTTGTATGCATTATTCTCTGTGTTTTGCTGTCCTGGGTTGATATTTTTATATTCACTGGAAAATCTTCTATTATACTATTTATAGATGAATGGGAAAATAATTTCTAAAATCAGAGAATGGGGCTTATTTTATGCTAATTTTGTTAGATTTTAAATAATATCCTTATAATTTGGCTTATTAAGGTGGATGATGCCATCAAGATAGCAGAGGCTGTTTTGTCTGATTCATCAGGATATCGAACTTTCCATCGAAGTGCTGAAGATCTCTTAGAGCAGTTTAAACTGTATGAACAAGAACAATTTGATGATTGGTCCAGGGATATTCAGTCTGGTTTGTCTGATTCTAGATCGGGTTTATGATAAGTTTAAATATACTAAACAGTGAAATCTGCATAAGAATTTTTTTTCTGTTAGTAGTCCAGTGGCAAGATGGAATTAATCATCTCTACTCTTTTTTCCCTTCACACTTGCTGCTACTCCTTTAGTTTTTTTGGTTAGGTTTTGTTTATCAGCCTTTAAGTCATTAAGGTTGGCAATTTGATGATGTAGTTAGTTGACTGCCTCCCCCTTGTTTCTCAGGTTCATTGCCCAGAACTGCAGATTCCATTTTTGGATTTAGGCTTTCCTTCTTCTAAAATTATTTGTTAATGGTATTTACATATGTTTTGAATGTAATTTAATTGATTAACCAAATTTTTCTACTGGGTATTTAAAATGAATGGTCTAAAGGGATTAAAAATGGTGGCAGAGTAAGTGGAAGCTCACAGACACGCTCCCAGGACCAAAATGGAAATATAGCAAAATACAGAAGAACCACCCTGAAAAATGAACTGAGGACTACCTGGAGAGAATCTTGGTAACCAAGGACAGAAAACAGAGACCACATAAAGGCTGGTAGGAAGGGCAGAGGTACAAAAGGGCATGTGTTCCCACAGACAGCAGATGAAGTACGGAGAGATATCTCAGCTGTTGGGGGTTGCCACTGAGAACTCGAGGTTTAATCCTCAAGGTAGGCACCCGAGTATAGAGGACCAGAACTGAGAAAGGTATCCACGTAACATTAGGCTGTGAAAATCAGCTGGATTGCTTTCTGCCAGGGATAGAGGGATGGAAATGCAGGCACCCTTTTAAAGGGCCAACGCACAAAATTCTGTGTGCAGCCACTCACCTTGTGCTCTGGCAAAGGGTGGGCAGAGAGGACTGGAGCTGTATAAACATAAGCCAGGGTTTAGGGTCCAGGGATAAGGCTTGGAAGGCAGACACCTTTGCTGAATTATTCCCTCATTCTGTGGAGGTCATCTTTCTCAGGTAAACCTGTGCTATCCTGATATTTTTGCCTGGGGTAAAGACAGTTGATCCATAATATTGGATGTTCTTCTGTCCCACCATGTGGAGTTTCTGAGTCCTAGAAAGAAACTAAGAATAAAAATTAGCCTCTTGGCAGAAGCAATTGTCCCACCCTGTTGGAAAACCTCTTACCGAACCTGTGGACCATTGCTTGAGGATACTTTGAATCCAATTAGTCTGCAGGTAGAGTGGTTCTCTGGATGCTTTGAGTCTTTGCCTGATCTAATTAGTCAGAAACAGCAGTTCGGTTCCCCCATCCAATAGACATCCCAGACTGCTCAGCGAGGCAAAAGCCAGCAGGGCCTCAAGTGCTTGCAGCTAACACCTGTGGTACCAGCTCTGTGGGAAAAGGAAGTACAGCCCGGAATAGGGTTAATCAAGGTATAAGACTCAAGGCAGACCCAGACTCTGTGCTAAGGAGTCCCTGACTACTGGACAGATGGCATGAAGACATTAGGATTGAACTTCACTGGCAAAAAGTCAGAGGGGAGATCCCTCCCACATGAGGCATCAACAGTCAATTCCCAATTACAACAGGAGAACCCAAACAACACATACAAAGGGCATTCCTAGAGCATCCAGCTCAGATGAACAGAGTCTATACCACTGGACACTTCAAGAAACCTTTAATGTAAGGCCATCCCACAAAGAATGGGAGGCATAGCAGTTCTGTCTAATACATAGAAGCAAATATAAAGAGACTAGAGGCCTGGTGCATGAAATTTGTGCATGGGGGAAGGAGGGGGAGGAGAGGGAGTCCCTCAGTCCAGCCTGCACCCTCTCTAATCTGGGATCCCTCTCACAATCCAGGACTACTGCCTCCCAACTGCTCGTTTGCCTGCCTTCCTGATTGCCCCTAACCACTTCTGGTTTCCAGCCTGATCACCCCTTAACCACTCCTCTGCCAGCCTGACTGATGCCAAACTGCTCCCCTACTGGCCTTTTTGCCGCTAACTGCCCTCCCCTGCAGACCTGGTCCCTCCCAACTGCCCTCCCCTGCTGGCCATCTTGTGGTGGCCATCTTGTGTGTTGGAGTGATGGTCAATCTGCATATTATTCTTTTATTAGATAGAATAGAGGCCTGGTGCATGGGTTGGGGCTAGCTGGTTTGCCCTGAAGGGTGTCCAAGATCAGGATGGGAGTTCCCTTGGGGTGTGGTGCAGCTGGGCAAGGGGCCTGTGGTGGTTTGTAGGCTGGCCATGGCCCCTCTCCCTCCCCCTGGAGACCCAAGCAGAGGCCCTGGTATCTGGAATTTATTAATCATCTACAATTGAAACTTTGTAGCCTGGAGCAGAGCTAAGCCTTTTGCTTGCTCCATGGTGGTAGCCATTTCTGTTGGGGTTTATGTATCTTTTATCATTTAAACTTTGTAGTCTTGAGTGGAGGCCTAGGCCAGCAAGGGCAGGTGGAAAGCTTGGCTTCCTCCATTACCAGGGAATCCCAAGCCCTCTTGCTTTCTGTGGCCGTAGCCATCTTGTTTGTGTTTATTTGCATATTTGCTCCTGATTGGCTGTTGAGTGTGGCTTGGGGGTGTGGTTTGTGTGTGTAGTGGCATTAATTTGCATGTTACTCTTTTATTAACCCCAAAGTGAGAGAAAGAATGCCCAGAAAAAGATTAAATAAGATGGAGGTAAGCAATCTATTAGAAATTGGGTTCAAAACAATGGTTATAAAGATGTTAAAGAACTTTAGTGCAAATTACAATAGCATGAGAAGGGATATAGAGGTCATTAACAAGAACCAGATAGAAATGAAGAATGATATATCTGATATGACCACACTGGAAGGAATTAAAAACAGATTGGATGAAGCAGAGAACTGAATCAGTGACTTGGAAAACAAGGTTCGAAATAGATACACAATTAGAGCAGCAAATAGAAAAAAGAATTAAAAAGTAGGAAGAGAGAGAATTAGCTAAGATGGCTGACAAGTAAACACCTAGCCGCAGCCGTACACAACAATTTCAATAAAATACAACTAAAATATAAAATGGACATTACCCAGAACTACAGGAAAGTCGACTGACTGGAAATTTTAACGAGAAGCAAGGAGAAAACCAGAAGGAAGCGCGGAGGAGCTGTAAAAGCCTAAGGTACGGAGACATGCGGCGTGCGCAGAGAGGATGGAGCCAGAGAGGAGGGGGCGGCTGAGTGCCTGGCTGGCGTTCCCTAGCGGGAAGGAGATAAACGCTCCGACTGTGCTGGGCCCCAATTCCGACTGCTCTGAACCCCAGTTCTAGGCCAGACCCTGGGGACCCAGGCTCATCCAGAGGGAGCTGGGCTGTGAGGCGGAGCCCCGGGGGGAGCGGCGAAAGGAGGTCCCGGCGGCGTGCACATTGCACGCAGAGAAAGGACGGTCGGCTGTGCCTCGGGATTGCCCTGGCGGGAAGGAGACAGGGGCTCCAGACTGCTCTGAACACCACCTCCAATCTCACTTCCAACTGAACTGAACCCCAATACCAGGCTCATTGGGGGGAGAGCATAGACTGTTTGGCAGCAGGCGAAAATTGAGGGCACCTTTCTCTCAGAGGCTCTTGCAATGATTACTGAAGGACCCGAATAGGGCAGGACTGATGAAAGCCAAAGCTGCAGGCTCCACCCTGAAACCCCACCCCATCCAAGCAGAACACAGAGACTTTTAAGGCTACCAATTCAGGAAAGCTGCAAAAATGCCGAGACAAAATAGATTACAAATGAAAGAAATGGAGGACAAAAAGCGACTGGATATAAAGTTCAAATCTACGCTTATAAGGTTTCTCAAGAATTTCCTAGAAAAGATGGATAAGACCTATGAGGATATGAAAAGGGATCAACTAGAATTAATAAGGAATCAACAAGAAATAATAAGGGATCAACAAGAAATAAAGAATACATTGACTGAAATAAAAAATATTATACAGAGTCCTAAAAACAGAATGGAAGATTGCAAGAATCAAGTCAAAGAGTTGGAACATAAAGAGCCAGAGGACACTCCTCCACAGAAGCTAGAAGGCAAGAGAATCCAGAAAATTGAAGATAATGTAAGAAACCTCTGGGACAACTTCAAGCGAACCAACATCAGAATTATGGGGGTCCCTTTTCCGGGGAACAGACAAGATGGCGGAAGTGGAGCAGAAGAAGAAGCGGACCTTCCGCAAGTTCACCTACCGCGGCGTGGATCTGGATCAACTGCTTGACATGTCATATGAGCAGTTGATGCAGCTGTACAGTGCCCGGCAGCGGCGGCGGCTAAACCGGGGCCTGCGGAGGAAGCAGCATTCGCTTCTGAAGCGCCTGCGCAAGGCCAAAAAGGAGGCCCCGCCCATGGAGAAGCCAGAGGTGGTGAAGACACACCTGCGGGACATGATCATCCTGCCAGAGATGGTGGGCAGCATGGTGGGCGTCTACAATGGCAAGACCTTCAATCAGGTGGAAATCAAGCCTGAGATGATTGGCCACTACCTGGGTGAGTTCTCCATCACCTACAAGCCCGTGAAGCACGGCAGGCCTGGCATTGGAGCCACCCACTCCTCCCGCTTCATCCCTCTCAAGTAGTTAATAAAAAGCGGACTTACCTCAAAAAAAAAAAAAAAAAAAAAAAAAAAAGAATTATGTGGATCCCTGAAGATGAGAGAGAGCAAGATATTGAAAACATACTGAAAGAAATAGTGACAGAAAACTTCCCCCACCTGGTGAAAGAATTAGACTTACAAGTCCAGGAAGTGCACAGAACTCCAAACAAAAGGAATCCAAAGAGGACCAAGACAAATCATAATTAAAATTCCAAGAGCAAAAGACAAAGAGAGAATATTAAAAGCAAGAGCAAAGAAGGTAGTTACCTATAAAGGAGCACCTATACAATTGTCAGCTGATTTCTCAACAGAAACCATGCAGGCCAGACAGGAATGGCAAGAAATATTCAAGGTGAGGAATGGTAAGAACCTACAGCCAAAGATAATCTATCCAGCAAAGCTATCACTCAGAATCGAAGGTCAGATAAAGAGCTTCACTAATAAAAAAAAGCTAAAGGAGTTCATCACCACCAAACCAGAATTATATGAATTGCTGAAGGGGGTTCTTTCAGAAGAGAAAGTAAATAAAGATAA